TTTACCATAAAGATCATTTGAATATATTTGAATTAAGAATTTAGCTCACAAGCAATTTTTATATCATGAGATTCATATTTTTTGACATGTTTCACATTGGTAAAATATGCAATTTAAACTATTAAGCTTCAAATTTAAACTATTAAGCATGTTTGATTTTATGTAGTTTCTCAAACTATTAATTTCTTTGATATTTGATGTGATATTCCTGAACTTAGTGGTGATAACTATAAGATATGGAATGAGAGGGTTCTCCTCCATTTTGGGTGGATGGATATTGATTATGCTATTATGAAAGACAAACCAACTATAGTCATTAATACCAGCACTCCAACTGAGATCACGTTATATGAGCGATGGAAGCGATCCAATTGGCTTAGCATGATGTTTATCAAAACTAAGATAATTGTTGGCATACGTGGTTTTATTGACCAGCATGAAAATATCTGAGACTTGCTAAAAGCTATCGATGAACAGTTCGTCACTTCGGATAAGGCACTAACAAGTACCCTAATAATGAAATTCTCATTCCTTAGACTCACCAACATAAAGGGTGTGCGTGAGCACATAATGCAAATATGAGATATTGCAGCTCAACTTAAGAAACTCGAGGTTAATATGTTAGAATCCTTCCTGGTGCACTATATTCTGAACACCCTTCTACCTCAATATGGGTCTTTTAAGATTTCATATAATATACATAAGGATAAATGGTCAATCAATGAATTAATGACTATGTGTGTTCAAGAAGAAGAGAGGCTAGTGAGGGAATTGGGTGAGAGTGCATTGGTGGTAACCACTCATGGGAAGAATAAAACTGATAAAACCAAGCCAATCAAAATGCTCATCAGCAGGGAAAAGGTAAAATACCACCCCTGATATCAAGAAAGAAGCAAAGTGTTTCTTTTGTAAAAGAAAGAGACACATGAAGAAGGAATGTAAAAATTCCAACAATAGCTCGAAAAGAAAGGGAAACTAACCTCGTTTGTGTGTTATGAATCTAATTTGATCAATGTTAATATTAACACCTGGTGGATTGACTCTGGATCAACAATCCATATTGCAAACTCTTTGTAGGGTATGCAAAACCTAAGAAAGCTAGTGGGAAGTGAGTAAAGTATCTTATCAGGAAATAAGATGGGCTAACATGTGGAGGCAATTGGAACATGCATTTTAACTTTAAGTAGTGGTTTTGTTTTAAAATTGGAAAGGACCTTTTATGTACCAAGTTTCTCACGAAACTTAATTTCTATTTCTTGACTCGTACCATTTGGGTATTCCTTTAATTTTAAAGATACATCATTTCATTTATTATATAATTCTGATTGTGTTGGGAATGGTATTTTGTTTAATGATCTTTACCATATTTTGTTATAAAATGATAATACTCAAAGTTCAATGCAGTTCAGGAATTACAACAAGCTCCTAAACGACTAGTTGAACTACAAGTTCCTTAGGGAACCATTGATACAACATAAAGAAGATCTACTAGAAATAAAAGATCAATAATTCCTAGTGATTATGCTATATATCTACAAGAATTTGATTATAATATTGGAGCCAAAAATGATCCTGAAATATTTTCACAAGCCATGAGTTGCAAAGAGTCAAATTTGTGGCATGATGCTATGAAAGAAGAGATGAATTCCATGATGAGCAATAGAGTCTGGGATCTTATAGAGTTGCCGAATGATGCAAAGACTATGGTTGCAAATGGGTCTTTAAAACTAAAAAGGATTCGTTAAGCAATATTGAGAGATACAAGGCAAGACTTGTTGCAAAGGGATTTACTCAAAAAGAGGGAATCGATTATACGGAGACGTTTTCTCTTGTATCTAAGAAAGATTCTCTACATATTATTTTGGCATTAGTTGCTCATTTTGATCTTAAGTTGCAACAAATGGATGTGAAAACGATATTTCTTAATGGAGATATAGAGGAAGAGATTTATATGAAACAACCTGAAGGTTTCTCCTCTAGTGTTAGTGAACACTTGGTTTGTAAGCTTAGGAAGTCTATATACGGCTTAAAACAAGCCTCCCGTTAATGGTATTTTAAATTCTATGAAGTGATTTCTTCATTTGGATTTATTGAAAATCCCATGAATCAATGCATATACTAGAAGGTTAGTGGGAGTAAAATATATTTCCTTGTTTTATACGTAGATGATATTTTGCTTGCAACCAACGATAATGGTTTGCTGCATGAGGTGAAATAATTTCTTTTTAAAAATTTTGACATAAAGGATATGGGTGAAGCGTCTTATGTCATTGGCATTAAGATAGACCTCGAGGCATTTTAGGTCTATTACAAGAAACCTATATTGATAAACTTTTAGAAAGATTTCAGATGAAGGATTGTTCACTAAGTGTTGCTCCCATTGTGAAAGGTGATATGTTCAATTTGAACCAATGCCCAAAGAATAACTTTGAAAGGGAATCAATGAAAAACATCACATATGCTTCTGCTATTAGAAGCCTTATATATGCTCAGGTATATGCTAGACTTGATATTATATTTATTATGGGGATGTTAGGTCGATATTAGAGTAATCCAGGTATGGACCACTACAAAGAAAGTGATGAGGTATCTATAAGGAACCAAAGATTATATGCTTATGTATAGACATACAGACAATCTGGATGTGATTGGTTACTTAGATTCAGACTTCGCCAGTTGTGTTGATTCTCGTAAATCAATATCAGAATATATTTTTATAATGGCTGGTGGAGCTATTTCTTAGAGAAGAACCAAGCAGACATTGACTGCTACTTCTACCATGGAAGTTGAGTTTGTCTCCTGTTTTGAGGCTACTTCACATGGTGTATAACTTAAGAGTTTCATTTTTGGGCTTAGAATCATGGATTATATTTCTATGCCATTAAGAATTTTCTGTGATAATTCAACTGCTGTCTTTATGGCTAAAAATAATAAAAGTTGAAGTCGAAGTAAATACATCGACATTAAGTATTTAGTCATAAGAGAATGTGTAAAAGAAAAGAAAGTGGTCATTGAGCATATTAGCACTGAATTGATGATTGCTGATCCTTTGACTAAAGGCATGCCACCTCTAAAATTCAAGAATCATGTAGAGAAAATGGGACTTGGTTTCACTTTGTAATGATATTGAAACTCTTATATATTATGATATTTTCTCTACATATTATTTTTGAGAAATTATATTGTTATTGGACCAAGAATAAACATAAGGTTTATTCATTAAGTAATATTACCACATTAAGATTAAGAAACTAAATACATCATGATACATGGATGATAATACTCGCTCTTAGAGGATTTATCGCTATGATTCATGTATTTATTTCTTAAGAAAGTTATTCGAGAAAGATTAATTCAAATTATTAAGCTAAACGTATGGACCAAGTGGGAAAATGTAATCATTATTATTAAATATTATATTTAATAATAATATAACCGTTCTCATTAAGATTCATAATTCATTATAATCAATTTTTTCATTTATTATATTTTAAATATTTTAATTTTTCATTCTAAATGTAACCATTAGTTGACAGCAAACTAACCATTATTATTAACTGTTAGATTTTATGGCTTTTTGTAATTGGATAAGATGTATAATATAACTAATTGGATTCCGTTGAAATATTTTAGTCAATAGAATATAAGTCATACGATTCCTTAGAATAGACCTTCTGCTCTCGCCTAGGGACTGTGCTCTTGCCTAGGGACTGAGGGCATGCACAGATGCACGTCTCACAATGAATATAGTTGAGGGGATTATAGTTTTCTTCTCAACTCTCTCCCTAAGGGCATGCACAGATGCACGTCTCACAATGAATATAGTTGAGGGGATTATAGTTTTCTTCTCAACTCTCTCCCTAAACCATCAATTTAGTTCGTCCTGTGAAAGGATAGGAAGAGAGGAGAAAGGATCTAATTCCTCCTTGCAGATCAAACAGAAATCTCTGAATAGATGACATAAAAAGGTACGCATCGTTAAACTAGATCTAAGTATTTGATTTCAAGACATAAAGATTATTTTTGTATTTTAATTCAACATATTACATATTTTTATGCTTTTAGAAACAACTTAAAGACTCACTCACGAGGAAGCAGAACCAAAGGAGGAAAAGGAGACTGTTTGCTCAGCTTTCAGTCAGTCTTCCTTCAAGTAAGAAAGCTATCTTCCTCCTTTCTATCGATCAGTCTGAGACCGGAGAAAGTGATGAAACAGCTGAGACTCACTAAAGAGGAAGCAGAACGAAGGAAAGAAAAGGTAGACTGTTTGCCCAGCTTTCATTCAGTCTTCCTTCGAGTAAGAAAGCTATCTTTCTCTTTTACGTTACGTCGTTTTCTTCCTTTGAGAGTAGCATTCTTATCTTATACCTTTTCCATGATTGTGTGATCTATGCAGAGAGTTGCGTCTTCAATGCCACAAGATCATTTAGATAGGCTCAATGCAATACGTTTAATAAGAGAATAGAAAGAAATCTATTTTTTTTTCTCTTTTCTTTATTTACTTTAAAATTAGAAACATTCCAAATATTATAAAACTTATGACATACTTCAAACGCCACTAAATAATAAAATTTATTCAAATAATAAATAAACTAAATTGGTTCTCGCATCGTCAGATCAATGAAATTTTTTTAGAATAATTCAATCAATCTAAATAATATATTTGTTAACTGATGAGAGGTAGGTTTTACTTCTTTTTTAGTCAAAGTTTTTAGTACAATTATAATTGCACCACTCTACTTACTTAATAGACGACGAGCAAGTAGAAGGTGAGAGTGGAATTGGATCATCCCTATATATATACATATACATATATATATACATATATATATATATATATACATATATATATATATATATACATATATATATATATAGTACTCTATTTTCACATCAGCCTTTCTGAAATGGTTATACGGGGTGGCATTTCCGGGCCCACGTTCACAGCTTGATGACAACGAACCCATCGCCTCTCGGCCAACTTATAGCTAGCTATAGGGTTCAGCGCTTCCTTCTGCGAAGGAGGGAGGGACGTCGAAAGAAGACTCCACCGCCATGGAGGAAGGAAGGAGGTGGGAGGACATGCAGGTGGACTGTTTGGTCAACATCTTCCGGCGGCTCGGCCTCGACGACCTCACAGTCTCGGTGCCCTTCGTCTGCACGTGCTGGTGGCGCGCCTCCCTCGACCCGGTCTGCTGGCGAGTCCTCAACCTACGGTCGCTGGACTTCAGGACCTGGAGCCAGTTCAGCCGGAGCTTCGGCTCCCGCTACCGTCTCAAGACTCTCTCCTTCTCCGCGTTCTTGAGGTTGGTCGTCCACCGCAGCCATGGCTCCGCTTCCGAGCTCATCTTTCCCTTGTCCTCCGGCGCGTCGGTGCACGACTTGGCCTACGTCTCCATCAAGTGAGTGCAAGTACGACCTTCTTCCTCTGTCGTCGGTTCTCGCCGACGTATTCACGATAATGTATCGATCAATCCTTGTGCCTGTGCACATATTAGCAGTTGTCCCAGGTTGAGGACTCTTGCTTTGCCCGATAAGCTGATGCTGGAAGACGACCTCCGCATTCCGGAACTCATTGGAAGGTGGAAGGATCTGGAGCAGCTGGAGCTGGAGACGAAGCCCACTTCGTTCCTGGAAACGGTGGCAGCGATCGGGCACAACTGCACGCGGTTCGCCCGGCTGAAGGTGCGGGGGTTGATCGGCAAGGAAGACGCGAGCGTCATCGCGATGTGTCTGCCGGAGCTGAAGCAGCTGGAGCTGAGCGGGTCGTACCTGACCAAGGACGAGCTTGCGGTGATCGTGAGCGGCTGCCGGAAGCTGGAGAGGCTGACCGCCACGGACTGCCTGGGCTTCCAAGCCGACGAGGAGCTGTTGAGGTTGGCCTCCGGCATCCACAGCTTCGAGCACGAGGGTTCGAAGCTGCTGAGCGACAATGGCTACGAGACGGACGAATCGGAGCAGCAGTCTGGATTTTTCTACTGGTGACTGAGACTGCCACGCTTTCTCCTCGAAACCATATGAACAAACCCTCGCCTGCATCAACCTTAATGGAATTATAGTCTCCATTGTTGATCTCTTTGAGTTAGTAAGATCATGAATTTATCTATGTGTTAATTTGACAGAGTTCAGAATCGCGCCATATGACTGACTCTCGAGTCTCCAAAGATGTGATGAGCCACTGACTAAAATAAATGAATAATAATAATAATAATATATTCATCCGATCCTTATAAATTAATAGTAAATTTTATCCATTTTGAACGTGAAACTAATCAGAGTCTTATGCTGCTGATCGACTCTGAATAATAATAGTAGAGGTTGGAAACATAAATACTACATTTCATTTGTCATTAGGATCCCATGTTATCGAATCTGACAGGAAAATGAAAACTCAGAATCCTATGAACACTACTAGCAAATGTCTTAGAGAGAGAGAGAGAGAGAGAGAGAGAGAATGACATAATTGTATGTTGATTAACGAAAGACAGTAACTTTCTTTCCGTAGAGTGGCTAACGCTTGAAGAAATACTTCTTTCTTTCTTCTCGCCAATAAAGAGAGCAGCTCACCTGTGTCGCTTCACAAGTCCATCACTTGACAAGAGCTTTCGAAAAGGGAAAGGGACCAATTGCTCAAAAGATTGACCTGCCTTTCTTATTTTTCAGTTCCATCATCATCATATAAATCCCAAAGCTGCATCAGTCAGTATTTGGTTGTCGTGTGAGATGTAATTGTGATGCGATATTCAATTGTTCTGCTTTACCATTCCTTACCTCCAAAGCTGTGCGATTAATTTTGCAGCTCTGCAGAAGATTCATTTGCATTGAGAATGTGGCACCAGAGTTTAGAGACTACACAGATGGATCCACAAAATTAAAGGAAGATAAGAGTTCATTCCACACATGAGGGTGATGATGGGAAAGCATTTATCTTTAGAATAGCATTAGATTAGAAGTTAGTGGTGTGTTTGTTGATAGTGGGAATTTATATAATTTTGGTCAGAATTAAGTAAAGTAGAATGCAACAATTTTTAGTTTCAGATAGAATCACATCACTCTTAAAACAAAAGAGTAAAGAGTATAATTAGATCTTACTCAAACTAAAATCTTTATCACCTGCATCATGGTCATCATTATACCATTTGACTCATTTACATGTTTTTTAAATAATATTATAGTATATATATTTTTAAGATATTGAAAATATTATATTATATTACGTCTTTCTGTTTGTCATAATTTAAAATAAAAAACTATTTGAGAAAATAAAATTTAAATAAAAAAGAGAGCGTTTTTTTAAATGAAAACAGAGAAACTTTTAACATTTATAGGACAAATGATCAGAGAGAACAAATGATGAAAACTTTGTCGGGAAGAAAAAGCAACGACATTATGAGATTTTACAGTACAGAATAGTCTCTGATCATCAAAGAAATGACAATAGCTACATCGTGCAAAATGTGGTGCTTTCGATAAACACAAGGTGACAGAATGGGACATGTCCCAATGCATAGTGGCTTTATATATATATATATATATATATATATATCTGGATAAATTTCTGATTTTTTTTGAAGTTTTCTCGAAAGATGCTTTTTTTTTTATCATAATTCTAAAGGTGCTTTCTATTCACTATAATCTCTGAAATATTTCTTATCAAAACAATATATCTTAACGATCAATAAAAACATTAATTAAGGTGCTTTTGTTCATAAATAAAAAATAAAAAAATTATTTGAAATTTTATTTTTGTTGATTAGAGTTTATTATTATTGGATTTTGAGTCCATTTACCTACCAAAGTTATAGTGAGAATTATAGTGTTTCGGTGTAGGTATCGAAAATATTATAAAATCATTGTGATTGACATCATAAAATGTATACATGGGATCGATTAATAGAGTGTAATATAGCTGCTCTAATTATCTTATCAGGAGACATATGAGGATTTATGACAAATAAGGAAGGCTCTTGGGAAAATTCAAAAGGACCACATTCCATGAAAAATTACCAAGAAAAAAAAAAGAAAAAACTTTTTCGAAAATCCTCCCAATTTATCCCTCGGTATATATGTATTAACCTAACCTGCACACCAGATGTTAATAAACAAACTTATGTTGTGACTTGAGTTGAACCTAATCATCAAAAGTCGTATACTATATGGACAAAACATCACCAATGTCATTTTTTTAGCCTTGACTGAGAAAATGGAGACATATAGCTACTAGCAAACATCATTGTTTCTCAAGGTTCCCCCCCT